CCTGGCTCCCAGAGCCCCATCAGTGACCTGTCTCCGTTCCTCCCACACAGCCCTTGTTCTTCTCCATGGATGCCAACTGCAATGGCGTGCTCCGGCACCGCCCCACCTCTCCCAGTAGCCTGCTGGACACGGCCATCAGTGAGGAGGCCCGGCAGGGGCCTGGCCTGGAGGAGGAGCATGAGGCCCAGGAGCCCCTGGCGGGCAGCACCGGCCGAAGACACACGCTGGCCGAGGTCTCCACCCACTTCCCGCTCGCCCCTCCCTGTAAGTCCACTGAGAACCCAGAAGCAGGGGTGGGCACCGTGAGGCCACGGTGGGCTTGCTTGTTGCAGACCCTTTGCCTGGCAGCCTCCTCTCGCCCCTGGCCCCCCCCAGCCCCGGCCCCACCCGAGGGCCCCCCCGCCTGTCCGTCTCAGTGGCCTGGGACGGCCGGGGCTGACGAGCACGCCCCCGCCCGCAGGCATCGTGGTCTCCTGCTCGGCCTCCGCGAGCCCCTCGGAAGGAACAAGCTCCGACAGCTGCCTCACCTTCTCTTCCAGCCAGGGCCCCGCAGGGCTCGGGGGCGGCCTGGCTGCCCAGGGGCTGCTGGGCGCCTGCTCTTGCATCAGGTTCCCCTCCCCGTTCCTGGAGGCACAGTCTGCCACCCCCGTGCTGCAGGCCCAGGCGGGCCTCGGGGGGGCCGTCCTGCTCCCCGTCAGCTTCCAGGAGGGCCGGAGGGCATCAGACACCTCGCTGACCCAAGGTGAGGGCCCTGTGCTCACGTCCCCATCCCCGGACCTGCCTGTCCCGTCCGGGAGCCGCTCCCCGACGCCAGATGTACCCACATTCTTTGTTGGGCTCAGGCAGGACAGGCTGTGCTCTCCCAAAAGGCTAGAAGAGCCGCCCTGGCTCTGGGCATCTGGGCGGTGTGGCTGCCCAGTGCGGTAGACGGATGGTGCCTCTAGTCTAGTCGCTTCTGGGAGCGTGGGGGGCGCTCGTGCCTGGTGGGTGGGGTCAGGAAGGGTCCCCAACAAAGGCGGCTCTGCGCCCACTGGCTGCCAGGGCTCCCTCCACCATCCTCCAGGGCTTGGAGTGCCCATGAGCCTGTCAGCCCATATAGGCACCAGATGCACGCCAGCGTTAGAACTGTTGCCCAGGCCGCGGGCAGGGCTGGGCCCGGTAGAGGGTGGTCGGGAAGGGCTCGGCACCCAGCACCGCCGGCTCTCCTCCTGCTCGCCGCCCCCCAGCCCTCCCCCCCCAGCGTGGACCTCAGCCAGTAAAGGGCCACAGCAGGAGTCGGCTCTGGGCTGATGCCCACGTGTGTCTCATCAGGACTGAAGGCCTTCCGGCAGCAGCTGAGGAAGAACGCGAGGACCAAAGGGTTCCTGGGCCTGAACAAGATCAAGGGGCTGGCACGCCAGGTGTGCCAGTCCTCCAGCCGGGCCCCCAGGGGTGCCCTCCACGCACCTGCGCAGAGCCCCAGCCTGCAGAGCGGCTCTGCTGGCGGCCGGGAAGGCCGAAGCCTGCTGGAGGAGGTGCTGCACCAGCAGAGGTGGGTCCCCCGCTCCTCCCGCCAGTGGGCTGGCTGGGCTGGAGGCCAGGGTTATTCTCCAGGGAGGAGGTAGGCGTGGGGCAGCAAGGCGGCCGCAGGCCCGTGAGGGGTGAAGCTGCCCCACAGCAGCTCGAGGAGGGCGGGCGGACGGCCCCGTGGCCTTGGGTGCTCCTCGAGCCAGAGCGGCAGTGACCGGTGTCCTCCTGTCCTGCTCCGCAGGCTGCTCCAGCTCCAGCACCACCCAGCC